AACGCTGGTGATAAAAGTTAGAGTAGGATATGCTGAGCCAAAGGATGAAAGAGAGAATGTGGTGATGGCAAAGTTTCAAGCAAGAAAAAGTGAACTGATCCAGATCAATCGATCTGTTTGATCGATATTCACATATTACTAGATCAAGAAATATGGCTGTGACGTTGTTTCGACAGCAGGATACAATCTGGCAATGGCCTGAGCCCCTAGTGGCATGGGAATCTTGCGCGCTGCCGCAGCAATCCTAGTCGGCACCACCTTTCCTTCACTTGCAGGCATTAGCCATGTCCCTCGCACACTTCAAGACTACCACTGCCGCCGCATTCATCGCCTCGTTTGCTGGCACCCCCAAGCCCCACCGCATCGTCATCGGTGCGGCCCTTGCCAAGCCCACCACACCGCCAAGTCTGCTGATTGTGCAGCGCTCAGCTCATGAGCGGTCGTATCCCAATGAATGGGAGATCCCTGGCGGCCACGTTGACCCGGGCGAGAGCATTCTGGACACGGTTGTCAGGGAAGTTAGAGAGGAAACCGGAATCAAGGTGACTGAGGTTGTCAGACAGTTTGAGGGATTTCACTACTGGTCAACCAAGTACGAGGAGGGCGAATCGGAGAACAAGAAGGACGAGGAGAAGAGCGTGTGCACGCAGCAGCTGAACTTCATTGTGACTGCTGAGGATGCCGCTACAGTGGTGCTGAATCCAGAGGAGCACCAGGCGTACGCGTGGTGCACCAAGGAGACGATTGACCAGTTCCAGATGACACCAACCATGCGCAAGGTCGTCAGCGACGCACTGGACATTCTAGCCGAGTAAGGCTTGCAGACACAGTGCAATATTTCATTCCTTTTTTTTTTTTTAAAGCATGGAGTTTCTTGAAATATGCTACTCGGTCTTGGGTGCCACATTCGGGTCGTTGAGGGCGTTCAGACGCTCAACCAGAGGCGGGTGCGAGTAGTGGTAGGCCGAGTACAGATAATCGGGGTTCATGTTGCCCTTGTTCTCAATCTGCAGCTTGATCAGTCCGGAGCGCAGCTGCTCGCCGTACCCGAGCTTCTTTGAGAAGGCATCGGCCTCAAACTCGTTTGTGCGAGACAGCACGTTCGTGCAGAACGACAGGACGCTGTCCAGCGGCTGGTACAGATACTGGAACAGCATGAATCCGATCAGAACTGGCGTCGATGAGAATCCAAATGACTGGTACATGGCAACCTCGCCAATGAAGAGGCTGAAGGTGAAGAAGATGATGAACGTCTGGATCTGAATTGCCATGAGCATGCGCAGAATGTGGTTGCGCTTCCAATGGCCAAGCTCATGGCCGATGATGGCCACAATCTCCTCGGTTGTGCACTGGCTGATGAGGGTGTCAAACACCACGATGCGCTTGCTCTTGAAGAAACCAAACACGTAGGCGTTGCTGTGGCTCGACCGCTTGCTGCCATCAACCACATAGAGTTTCTTCAGCGGGAAGCCCAGGCGCGACGCCAGCGCCTCAATAGCAACGCGGAGCTCGCCCTCGGGCAGCGGGTCAAACTTGTTGAACAGCGGCTGGATGAAGGTCGGGTACACCGCAATCACAATCAGCTGGACCACGGCGAGCAGGGCCCACGCGTACAGGTAGAACTGCGAGCCCGTCTTCCCGATCACCCACAGGAACAGCGCCAGCACAGGGCTGCCTAGCACCACCGTCAGCAGAAGCGTCTTGACGAGGTCGCTGACAAACAGGCCAATGGTTTGCTTGTTGAACCCGTGCTTGCGCTCAACAACAAACGTCGAGTACATGTCGAATGGCAGGCTCATCACAGTAGAGATGAGGGTTGCAGCCACAAAGAACACCAGCGAGCGCGCAATCTCGCCACTATATCCAGTAGTGTTCTCCAGCAGACTGCCAGATACATTCCAGAGCCACGGAATCGCATCGTAAGCGATAATCAGCGATGTCTGGATCTGCGACACGAGGTTCTTCACCAGCTCAAGGCTGCTCTTGTCCAGGCCGTAGGCATTCGCCTCCAGGTACGCCTGGCGCGACACAAACGACGAAATGGCCAGGGGACGCCTCACCTCGTGCAATCTGTCGCGCTGCCGCACATCCAGGTTAGCCTCCCACAGGTATGTCGCCCACGAGAAGAATAGCACACACTCCTTGTACGGAACCTCGTGCAGGCTCTGCCTGAAGGCCTCGGACATGCTAGCAAAGAGCTGCAGGGCAGCCTCGGGCGACGTCGGCAGGTTGTCCCAGACAGCGACCAGGAAGCCGGGAATGCCCAGGAAGAAGTCGGGGATGCCGACGACAAAGCTGTAGACTGGCTTGGTGACTGGGAAGATTATCGGCAGGCTCGAGCCCAGGATCGAGATGATGAAGAAGCTCAGGAGCAGAATCGTCACGCCGCCCAGCTGAATCCCGTCGATGGCGTCGTCCAGGAAGCTCTTCTTCATCACCAGCGCCGCCTGCGCATCCAGGGCCGCATTTGACCCATCTCCAAACCGTTCGGTCGGCTCATCTGCAACCTGCTGGGGCTGGTTCTTGTCAGCCTCGCTCATTTCGACAAAATATAAGAGGGGTGGTAGTTTGGCGGAAGGGAATGTCAGGGAGAAGGAATAAATAGGTGGTTGGGAAGAGGAGGAGCACTCGCAAAAAATGTCGCCAGCCACTCTTGCCGGACTGCCAGCCCAAGCGTCTGAGAAATGTGCCAGCCGCTGGTCGATCACAGCGAAATTCCGTAGCAAATCCTGCAAGATAAAAATCGCTCTTTTCTTTAGCCTGCTCGCACTTTTTTTGGTTCCAATTATCTCGTTGAAAATGCTGAAGCAAATCACCAGCGTCCGTGTCGCCTTCTGCCCGTTCTCCAAGCACGCGACCTCGTCAAAGTAAGAACTAGAACAGCGGCGATGGAGCAGCATGTAGCACCGTGCAGTAGCTAAATTCAAGCACACTCTGTAGGGTCTTTCTGAACCGGGTGTTTTCAAAGGAGAACAGCATCGCCAACCCCACATGCAAGATCGACGTTGTCACAACCAACTACGCCAAGGACCCGGCCACAGTCGACGTGGTCTTCAAGGACGGCAAGAAGCTCCAGATCAACGCCGGCGAGCTCACCGGTGACGATATCATCAGCCATGTGCAAAAGTACTCAAAGAAGCTGAGCCAGAAGGAGGACCTCCAAGGCCAATAGACGTTCCAATTTTTGCTTTAAACAACAGCCCTAAGCCTTGCACCCATTGATGATAAGCAGCCTACGCTCAACCACCTGCGCAGCCTGAGCGCCGTCGACCAGCTCGTATTCGATCCTATGCTGGCCCGGCTGTACAACATAGACCGGCAAAGCGACCTGGTGCGAGGAGCCTGGCGCGATCGGGGGCAACTTCATGCAATGCACACTGTCAAACACAATCGGCTGCGACGTCGGAGCAGCCCCAGGCATATTTGGCGGCAGTAATTCGAGCGGCATCGACGGCAACTCGGCGGTCGGCTGCGGCGTGAAAGGCAGTGCAAATCTGAACTTCTGGCCCTGCCGCGCATTTTGATCTGGCAGATGAGCAGCAAACGCAGTGTTAACGCTGGCAGCCGACAGCAGTTGGACGCCCTGTGCCTTGTACTGCAGCGCATCGCTGGCCTCAAGCGCCAGCTCACTGTCCACCCCACTTTCTACGCCATACACTCCGTCCTTGCTGCCGACAGCCCGCGCGCTAATCTGCAGCTGCAGCATGCGATCCAGACCGTTCTCCACCACAACTTTCACCATGCTTTGTGCCTCTGTCGGGCAATTCACCTCCGACACCAGCCGGTCCACGTATGCGGCTTGCTGCTCACCAACAAAGATGCGCGTCTGGAAGCCGCTCCGCAGCACAGTATCCATGTACACATCCTCGAGCGTAAACAAGGAGCGCGGATCCATGTGCCCGGACCGCCCGGATTGGTTGGACCGCCAGCGGATTCGGATCCGGCTGCATATTTCCTGCTGGTGCCAGAATAGCTGACGACGGTGCGCAACCTCTTTGCTGCCACCCTTTTGCGCCGCACGCTTCAGCACAAACTGACGATCCTTGTTGGTCCCGCTGCTGCTTCCTTTGAGCCAACCAGCCCCATCGTCCGAATCACCAGAGAGTCCGCAGTGCCATGGATACGCAACAGAGTTGTCAGCCTGCGCGTCGGCCTCGACACCGGGGATTGGTGCCATCAGGATGCTGTTGCTGAGACGCACGCGCGGCAATGGCAAAAGCAGGCGCGACAGCTTGCGATGGCCCGGAATATGCATGTTGATAGTCTTTACCAGCATGTCCTCCTTTCTGGCCCCAGTCACCAAAGCAGCTGGGTCACTATGCGTGGTCGGTGACAGGTCTACCTCAATCTCCAAGTCAATCGACGTAGCAATGTCGTTGCGGATGTTCGCTTCCGCCAGATAGAACGAAGCCTGCGGCGCTGATGATCCCGCCTGGGCCTCGCGCAGGACCCCGACAATGTCCTCGACGTACTTTGCAGTTGAAACCTGCGGCAGTCTCCCGTCGCCGCTGCCCAGGGCCCGGGCAATGTAGGGAGGAAGATCAAAGTACTTGGCAGCAAGGCTGTCCGAGATAACTTGTGCTGGGGCCAGCAGTCGCGCGACCGTAATGCGCAGCGACCATTTCAGTTCGCGATACCACTCCATGTTGTCCGAACAACCGTACCGGATCACAATGTCGCCGCCGACCCACCCGCTCAGACCGATCGCCTTTATCAGTAATGTGCACACCTGCCGGCTGGAAATACGCATGTCGCTGCCGTTTTCAAAGCGATAGCTCAAAGCCGCGTTGACAACATCGCGCTGCAGCGTCTCACCGTGCATGTCGTCCACCACGCGCTTCCCATTCGTTGTTAGCGGCTCGGAATCTGACGTCAATGGAGTCGATAGCGGTGGTCCCGCCATTCACTAGCGTGAATTGCACCTCGCGGCTCTCGCCTTCGAACAGGCTCAGTGACTCTTCACGCGCAATGCTGCTTTCAAGTAGCCGCAGACTGGGCAGCGCAGGCACAACATGTGCCAACAACGTATGGCCTGCATTCATTACTGACAACTGCACGGTCTCGGCTGCAAGCTCGGACTCAGTCTGGCCGGCACTGGATGCCTAAAAGTTTGCTGCGCTCAGCCTCCAGTCGCTGCAGCAGCGGCTTCTCCTTTGCTCTGCGCTTTGCATCCGCCTCGTGCTCGTCTGCCAAGAGACATTGCACAGACAAGTGCTGGAACAGACAGATCTGGATGCCCACTACATGGACTTGGCCGGCAGCCTCAGGAGTAAACTCCAGGAGCACCTGCCCTGACCCATGGGCTGGAATCACGCACCGCGTCGGAGCACCAAACCTGATGCGGTCAGTAGGCTTGACCCGCACTACTAATGCAACATCGTTCAGCTCCAGCGCAAATGGGAACGGGTTTCTTCAGAGTAGCTACAAAGTGGGCGCGCTCGTGAGCAACCAGCAACGGAGGCATGTCGCCCTGCATCTGCACGCTGGGGTTGTGCAGGAACAGACTCGCCTCTTTGCTAGCCACCGATTCTGTTGCTGTCTTTATTGGCACAGCCGAGCCTGGGGAACGTACACAGCTGAATAGCGCAGAGCATGTGTAGCAATGCCGGCCCACCACCGGCGCGTCCCTTCCAGAGACCCGCGGCTGGCTGTTCTCTTTCAACAGCCTCGCATCCTCCCTGGATCTGTCGCTCTCGCTGTGTGCTGGATCAAAATGGTACCGGCTGGTGGTACAGCGTGATGGTCCGCTGCAGATAGTTCTTCAGCGTATGCTGCTCCTCGCGGATCCCATACAGCTGCGCCTCAGGCACGATGTTGGCCAGCTCGCTTAAACACGTCACCAGCCGGAACGCAGCAGAGATGGCAATGGGGGTAGCTAGGCAGTGCCTCTGCAATTGGACAGGCATCGCGGACAATGTCAGACTGCAGATAGAGCCACCCGTAGCGCTCGCTGGCGCGCAGCCGTCTGCTTGTGGTCAAATGAGTGAAGCAGGACATCCAGGCACGCAACCACCGCCCGCCGCAGATCCACCTTGGGCTTGGTGAACCACTCGCGCGTAATGGTTGCGGAGTCGTTTGGTTGCATAAAAGTCAAACAGGCTCTTGGCCCCACCACCACCCGGCGTCCTACTGTCGACGTCGATGGGGACGGTGAAAACGAGGGTCGCACAACAGTCGATGTAACCGCAGCCGCTGCTGCTGCTGCCACGGCAGCGAATGCAGTCGACCCGTCAGCAAACGCACTGGAAGCGCCCTGCTCATGCCGCCCAGCCATACTGCCCCTTACTGGCGTTCCTGACATCGACCCGCTGTGACGATCCCGGCCAGCGGCTTTCTGCGCTGCTGAGCTGCTGCTGCGCAGCAATACTGGCACTGCCAGCAGCAGGAACTGCCGTAAAAAGAACACGACTTGCGCGAGTATCCGATGCTGTGGAATAGATGGCTTATCTCTGACGACGCGCTAAGCTGGTCCCCGACCCCCAGCTGCGTAAACGAGCTGCTCCACCCGCGCTCCAGCCATTCGTTGATTGTAGCCCGCAGCGGCACATTCTGCACCCCAGACACCACGTCACAGGTGGTCTGCGAAAGCCTGTTCTCGGAGCCGTAGCGCAGACTGTTGGTCCGCAGTAGTGCCTGCAGCGCGTTCTCAGGGTCGGCCAGATGCGACTCGCGCGTGGCACACAGGACCAGCGCCTGCCGGATGCACGCCTCCATATGCATCAGAGGTGCGAACGAGTAGCTGTGCTCATACAGCAACGGTACTTGACAGAACAGATCGCCGATTTGCGTCAGCGCCAACGCCAGGCTGCTATCAGTGCCGCTGCCTTCTCTCCAGCAGCCTTGGTCGATGCGCCTGAGCTCGATGCGCCCAGTGGCACGGTCCCACTGCCAGTCCGTGCCACTGCATTCTCTCTCAAGGTGGTTCTCGGCGCACACGACAGGAATGCGTGCAGCAGCTTCCGGTCGGCCGCCCGCTCACACAGCATCAGCAGCGCTGCACAGTACCCCTCCAGCGCCGTCGCCTGCCACAGGTAATCGTTGACTGTCCGGCTCGCCTCAACCGACGTGGTGTATGAAGAGAATGCATCGGAGAGCCGCCCTGCCATCAAGTACAGGTCGCCCTGCAGCTTCTTCAGCCGTCCGGTATTGGCCGATCCAGCACTCCGCTTCTCACGGGTTGCATGGAGCGACAGCCCGCCGCCCGAAGCAACCAGCGGTGACAGACCGCCAGTGCTAGCAGCACCACTGTGCTATCATCGGACGCCAGCACCGACAATCCGTTC